GGAAGGGCTCAGCTTGTTTGAGGCACAGCAGGGAGACCAGAGGCAGTAGGAGATGGAAAGAACCACATCACCTATGACCTTGAGGCCACTCTTTAGACATATGGGAAACCTGTGGAGGGTTAAGAGCAAAAAGATAACACAACTTAACCCACATTTTTAAAAGATCCAATTGGCTGCCACATTGAGAACTGACTGTATGGAGAAAGACAGAAATGGACAGCTCAGTAGGGAGGCTGTCACGATAATGCCATGAATTTTTTATTTGGTTTCATTTGTTTACTCATTTGGCTGGATGGAGGTGGGAGTGCTGGGAAACTGGAGCTAAGAAGCTCTGGGGGGAAAAACAGGAAGGAGAATTAGCCTGAAAGGGAAAAGTTAGGAGTGGGCAAGATGTTTTGCAGAAGTGGGAGGCAGTGCGGTGAGTATAAGGCGCAGAGGCGCTGTGCAGGACCGAGAGCACGGGGCGCGGGTCCGGGTACCGGGCAGAGACGCTAAGCGGAGGAATCCGCGCTGAGTCTACAGACTGCAGGTCACAGGGGTCAGGAAGATCACTTTCCAAGGGAGCCTCCTGCAACAGCATGCGTGAGGGACAGCACGCGCCTAGGTTTAGGCGAAGGGCTTGCGCAAGGCGCTCTTCAGGAAGTAAAGTAAGGTCCTGCGCCAAGGGCCGCAGCGACCGCCTTCAGGGTCCTTTTGCTCGAAGGCCAGTGCAGTCTGTTGTGTCGCCGGAGGGGTCTGGAAAAGTGTTCACCCGTCGGACGTCCAGCAGATGCAGGCCCACCGTGAGGAGGTTTAAGGAGCGCAGCACTCTCTGGGGAAAAGGTCCCAGAGCAGCGTGCGTGAGATCTCGTCCAGGGTCTTTTCCAAAACACTATCGTCCGTAGGTGAGAAACACGAGGGCAACGACGAAAAAAGCAGGTCTGCAAAGAGAGTTCCTCGGGGTGGGCGTACATGCCCATTTCTGGATTTAAAACGTCTCGGCGGGGTCCGCCGGCGGCGTCGGAGCTTCAGTCCCGTGCCCCAGCCCTGAGCGGCGGCGTCGGGCGCCCCCTCCTTCCCACCGGTTCTGCACGAGCCCCACTCGCACCGGCGCTCACGCGAGCCGTCGGCCCTTTTCACCCTCGAGAGACCACGGCCGGGAGAGCCACATGACTGCGGCCGCGGGAACAGC